ATTTTCCTGCAGAAACTTTCGTATGCCCTTACGTGAGTACCATGCATAGCTTGGGGCTGAATTTGAAATATATGAGTTGTACTTTGATAGGGAACGCTCCTCCAAAATTTCAGCTTTCTAGCTTTCCTGGTACCCAAATTTTCCCCTAAAAATTTCATACGCCCTTACGTGAGTACCAAGCACAACTGGGGGATGGATTTGAAATCTTTAGCTAGCACATGCGCAGAGAATATCTCTACAAAGTTCCAGCCCCTTAGCTTGTGTGGTTCCCGAGACCACTTCCTCGCCAAAGAATTTGCATATTTTTTTAAAACATCCCTACGCGGCACCCAGGCGTCCAAGGGAGATGAAATTAAAACGGGAGGGTTGCGCATGGTATAGGCACATATTCCCAAAATTTCAGCCTTCTAGCTTTTCTGGGTCTCGAGTTGAAAGTGGTGACAAAGAGTGCGAACACACAGACACACACACGCACACGCAGGCACACATACAGCCGCTTCCCAATATGCGCTTTTACAATTTACATACATGCACAAACGCATAAAAACGCTTATTGGAAAGTAGTCGTCTGTATGTGTGTCTGTGTGTTTGCACCTTTTGTCACTTGAGAACCAGAAAAGCTGGAAGACTGAAACTGTGGTAGTATGTGCTCACACCACGCGCGACCCTCCCGTTTTAATATCATCCTCTTCGGACGCTTGGGTGCCGCATACAGACGCTTTAAGAAAATACGCAGATTTTTTGGCGGAAAAGTGATCTCGGGAATCAAACAAGATAAGGGTCTGAAACCTCGTAGGGATATTCCCTGTGCATGTGTTAGCTAAAGATTTCAAATTCAGGCCCGGGGTATGCGTAGTACTTACGTAAGGGCGTATGAAAGTTTTGGCGGGGAAATTACTAACTCGGGAACCAGAAAAGCTAGGAAGATGAAATTTTGGAGAGTGTTTCTTGTCCAAGTACAAATTAAACATTTTAAATCCAGCCCTCAGGTATGTTGGTTCTTACGTACGAGCACGTGAAAGATTTGGCGGGGAACTGTTAACTCAGCAACCAGAAAAGCTGGAAGGCTGGAATTTTAGGGAGATGTTCCCTGCCCACGTGCAATTTAAATATTCAAAATTTAGCTTCCCAGGCACGTGGAGTACTCATGTACTGACAAGGAGAAGTTTTGGCGGGAAAATTGCTAACTCGGTAACCAAAGAAGCTAGAAGGCTGAAATTTTGGGGGAATGTTCCCTTCCCAAGTACCATTTAGATATTCCATAATCAGCCTTCAGGTATGAATGGTTCTCACGTACAGGCACCTAACAATTGGCGGGAAAATTGCTTTAAAAAATGATTCCACTTCACCTTCAGAAAATGATCCCACTTCACCACAACGGTTTGCTGGTGCAAAACGCATTTAAAAATGATGGATTTTCTCCTCCAAATTTATAACATCATTCTCAGCTTAAAACGTGATTCTGAAAGAGTCGCACTGATCAAGTTCTACGTATCCGGTTGCTTTGTCTGCGCTGCGCAGCAAGTTCAGACTGAATATTTCAAGTCTTAGCTCATCCATGAATCTTTATAAATGTTATTTTTTGGGCATGAAAGTTTGTTGGGCACAGAAAAAGATAAGCTAGAAATTAATCTGAGAATTTTAACCATGCGGACAATGTCTCTAAAATTTCATTTCTTTAACTTCGTAATTCAAAAGTGAAACTATGACCGCAAACACGTACAATCTTGGTCTCGTCATGTATACAAAATCAGAAGAAAAAATCACAAATTTTTCAAACTTTCCTGATTTATGCAAAAACAATAAACATTTCATATCTTTTAGGGTGAGCCTCAGCTGCAGGATCTGAATCAACACAGTCGTAGCCGGTTCGTGGAAACATCACCTGTGATACTGGCTTCCGGGCCAGAGGGCGTATGTTTTTCCACAGTCACATTTTCCGTGATCATTGCCATGAGTGCAGCGTTCCTCTGCGCTACTCTCGTCGTCATTACATTCTTCTTCCGATCAAAGCAAACCAAATTATGATCTTTACTAAGATCAGCAACAAATCTAACAAAAAACAAAACCACAAGTAGGCTCCAGTGAATTTTATGCGGCAATTCTTGCGGAAGCCTAACAAAGCCTGTCAGAAAACAATTATATAATCCATAAATCAGTGGCCTAACGGAGGGAACGTGGCTTCTGCTTTCGAAAATGGCTGCTGTGCATTTTTGTCAGATGAACTAGTAAACTGCATTTGCTGCTAAAAGAATTGGCACTGCTTGCAGTCACTTCCGTTGAGTTAATTCAGTTGTTTAGAAGCTCCATCTAGTCTTGCTAGTTTGAAGAATTTCAGTTAAGCCACTGCCCTGAATTGTTTTGTATATAAAAATCATTGTATTGTTATTTCTTTGCTCTTTCCTTGTTCGTTTCCTCGATTCGTTATTTGCACTGCAAACAAGCGAGTAGTTTACTTTTCCGAGTCCACAGAATTCCTTTTTCTTCCATTCCAAATTCTTTCCTCCATTCATCGCTTTTCAAATTTCCTGGGTCCAACTCTTTAATTTATCTATCAATTTCATTCAAATTATTTATTTCACTTCTCCCAGTCACCGTATCAGCTCTTCCATTGTGTTCACTATAATTTAGTTTCTCCTCAAGTGATTTTTTCCTTTCGTGACACTGGTTCGCCTTTTTTCTTGTATTTCTCAATCTCCTGTAACACGTTTTGCTCCATTTGCTCCATGCTCCAACATGCTTCTTGCTCCATAAGCCAGTTTTCATCAGAAAAATACGAAAAGAACGGCGCATCGTGTTTCTGCTTGCATCGTCGTTTACCCATTCCAATTTACTTCAGTCAGTAATCAGCAGCCCGAGCAACAGCTAGTGATGAGCAGATGAATAGTTGCTCAGATCTGTCTTGTAGTTCTTGCCAGTTGTACCAGAATAGTGCGTTTACAGTTTTCATTCCTTTTTTTTCTCAATTTTCATTTTCCATGCCTTTCAGCTGTTTTTCAAAATCTCAGTTTCCTACTCTGTGCGCTATAATACATTTTTCTGGTGTAATTTTACTGTTTGAATCCAATCCACAAATCACACAAATCAGCAATTTTCAGTTTGCGCTTCTATTTATAATTTATCTTTTCTCTTATTTGTCTTTCAAAAATTTTTTTACGACTTTCAAACAGCTCTACTAGATTTTTCCAACATCTTCCAGTCTCAAGCCCACAATCTTACACTTCTGCGCCTTTAAACGCTCACACTAAACACTGAAGTAGCTTCACTTTTAATGCATTTTGATGAGAATAAAAGCACTGATTGCTAATAAAAAATAGGCCTTTTCTGTTTTCTGGTAAAATCCGGTTATTTTCACTTCACGTTTCTTTTCCACTGTTTTTCGCTTTCGCACTCACTGTTTTAAAATACACAAAGCACGACCTGTGAAATGCCTGTTTAGGAAATAATAAGCCCCAACGTTGCTATGGTCTAATAAACTTCTTTTTTATTGTTTACTTCTACAGTCTCGTTATAGTTCTAACATACTCTCTTTGTTACAGTCTAACAGGTCCCTGAAAAGTACTTTTGAAAAAATCTGGAATAATCAAGCTGAACGTCAGTCCAACCAGTTAAATTCTCACCTTCCTTTCCTCGAATCGTTTATGTTCTTACCTTTTATCCATTCTTTACCTTTTTTACAAGAAATTTTTACTACCTGTTTTTGCTGATTCGATCCACATGTCACTCTGTCTTACACACTTACTACTGTTAAATTCTCCACCTTACTTAATTTCCTTCAGCCTTCTCTTATTTTTTTCAGTCTTCAGAACTTTTGTTTGCATCTTGCACTGCTTTTTCGATATCACTGTCAAACTCTGTCTTCCGTAAATGCAAAAAGTGATGCAAATTCCAGCACAGTCGCACTTGCCTTTTACATGCACTCACAATTTGAAAAAAAAAACATACTTCTTTTGGTCGCAACATTTCACTTATTTCACTTTCAAAGACACCGAGGAACCGGATTTCACGGTTTTACCGGAGTAGAAAATAACAAATGGACTCGTTAACGATTGTAGTATCACAACTTGCATATTTGTTATGCTAAATTTGTAGCCATGATTTCTAATAACTGTTATTGTTATTGTAAGAAATGGACGTTATCAGTCATCAATTCACGCTGTTACAGCATTTTTGTTGTTTTGCATAAACCTACTAATAAACCTGTTTGCCAAATTTGATTTGGTACAGCACTGCACTCGCACTGCACAGCATCACTGAACACAGCAACATCCCACATTGCACCATTATTATAAATGCAATTTTAACTATCAAAAACAAAGTATGATAAAAAACCCACTGCCTAGAATTTAGGACAAAAACATAGATGCACTTGATTGAAAATGAAGAAATAAACTAGTATAAATTGGCTTCACATGGAAAGCGAGCCAGGAATGCTCTCTAAATACCCAGTGCATAACGAAGTAGCCAACCATTCTCTTCAGAAGCCACCAAAAATCGGCTGCCAAAAAAGTCTGCCTTTAGTTGTAACTTGAAGGTCTGATTACGATTCAGACTGAAATAACCAGAAGAGCCTGAAAATCCAAGCTTCACGATAAAGACTTGCATTGATTTTCTTGATCAGTTGGTACAAAAAAAACGATGTAGCTTTGGGCCAGTTGGAGATGTAATAAACCACTCATGACATTTTATCCGCAGCTTTTATTGCTATTAATATCATTGTCATTACTATTACTAATGCTGCTTTGCCACTCGCATTAGTTTTATCGCTGACTTTACCATCGCCATTCTCTGTTTTGATGTGCGACTAGGGCACTGAACACTACGTTAAATAAAATGCGCAAAGATGTATTATGCAATATTTGTTAAAGAGCTTCATATCTGACCACAGTCGCTCCTTAAGATCATCATCAGTAACATCTTCATCATCATGTAAAGTGATGTTTTATATTGTTTTAGTGGGCAAATGCAAGTACATAAATAATGAATTGTGTGGATCTTTTTTCCGAATCTCATTTGAAGTGAACAAGTGCTATTGGCCATGCAAGCTACTTCAAAAGTTAATTTTAAGATCTTCAGTTCATTTAGATTGATAAGTCAGTTCAGAGCCAAAACTAAACATAGGATGTTGAGAGCATATCGATGTGAACAATTACAATGTTTCCTACTACTTCGATTTTTTAATTATTAAAAATTTCGTTCTCTTTCCACAGGCAGAATTATACAGAAATACTGAGAGAATGGAATGACTACTATGCAGTAGTACTGACAGTAGTACTGAAACGTTTAGAGTCATCTCAATTTCCACATAACAAAGGATAACAGGCTGGAAAGCATGTGCAACCATGCGTTTTTGTACTGTACTTAAGCAGTCAGGTCGTCAACGATAAGAATGGTTCTTGCTTTGCATTTACTTTGTTCGCTCAATAACATAAATCATCGCAAAATTTTGAATAAAGGATAATGAGGAATAAAGGACAGTTTCGTTTTTGAAAATGAACCGGCTGATCAGTAAGTTGTTTTCCCGTCAAAACATTTGAATGTCCATAAGTGATAACCATGCACATCTGGAAAATGAATTTGAAATTTAAGTTTTAAGTGGACACAGAATATCTCCTCAAAATTTCAGCTTTTTAATTTCCGAGTTAGCATTTTCCCACCAAAAATTTTCACGAGCCCGTAAGTGAGAACCACACAAACCTGAGGACTGAATTTGAAATCCTTAAGTTGTTGGTGGGCTGGGAACATCCCCTTAAAATTTCAGCCTTTTAACTTTCTTGATTCCCGAGTTAGCGATTTTTCTGACAAAAATTCCTCGTGTCCGTGCGCGGAGCCCAAACGTATCTGAAGGTCGGTAACAGGATCCTGGGGTGGCACTTGGCTCCTCTCCCAATATATAAATGAACTTATTTACATATTTCGACTTTTTGACGAACGACCTCTCTAGCAACATTTCCACCTTTCAGTGGACTAGAAATTTGCATTTACAGGAAAATCGACTGAGCTTCATGCAAAAAACTGATAATCATCTACGTGGAGGCTTACGTTGTCCTATGATGCAACACTTCATCCCAAGTGACGCCCTTTCTTCTGCATGCCGGAAGAGGCCAAAGCGCGACCAATATGACGCCAAATTTAGGCTACAGAGCAGGGATCATTCCTGCTATTAGCGCTGTGTGAGTTTAATGCAAAAACATGTGATCGCATCGGCGTGCCTGTGTAAATATTTTCAAAATTCCTCCTATTCTTTAAAATAAAATATTATGCTAATTATCTTTTTGTTGCTCTTTAGCTTTTTTTATGCGCTTTGTGCTGTGTAATAGCAGTACAAAACGCATATTGTCACGGGGTAGACTGTGCGTGTCCAGCGCAACTTTTTCGCGACTTTCAACTCGGGAACCAGAAAAACCAGGAAGCTGAAAATTTACGATAATATTCCCACCAATGCGTGACCCCGCAAATATAAATTCAGCTTGCTCACACCCGCGCGTAACACGTACGGCCCCGTTAAACTTTTGGCAGGTAAAATTGTTATCTCGGGAACCACGATATCTACGAAGCCAAAATTTTAAAATAATGACCCTTGCCAACGCACGACTCAAATTCAGTGTTCCCGCGCTCTCGGGTATCACCTACGACCCAAAGAAAGTTTTGCGGGCAAATTACGGAAACCACGGAATCTAGGAAGCTGAAATTTTAGCGTGGCATTCCCTGCCCACGTGCAACTACGCAGATTTTCAACGCCCCCGTGGAAGTTTGGGAGAAAAAACATTATCTCGGGAGCCAGAAGTGCTAGGTAACTGAAAATTTCAGGAGAATCTTTCCTGCCTAAGCAGAGGCATCACAAACTCCAATTCAGTCCCGAAGTGTGCAAAATCTCAGGTGCGACCACGTGAAAGTTTTGCCTCAAAGACCATTCGAATGCCAGAAAACTAGGAATTGAAATTTTGGAAGGATATTCACCCTTCGAGGTTTCAAATTTAGCTTTCACGCGCCGGTCCGTGAAATTTTTAACTATTTTTCAGCGTTTCAACTATTTTTGCACAGACTAAAGTACAAAGCAGTGAAACTCATTAACAGGCAATCGTTGGTGGAAGGAACTGCACAAAACGCATGATCACACCGGCTATTCTGATGCGCGCTGCTATTTATTTTCCATTCCCACCGTAACCCATTTCTATACCCCATCTAATTTTATATTCGGCTTTAGATAACAAAAGCTAGTGCCCGTATTTTGTATTTGGCTTTACAGAAGATAGCTAGTACGTGCGCTACCTAGTACGCGCACTGGCACAGCTGTGTGCAAAGAGGAAAACATAGTAGAGCACCTTCACTTAGGGGTGACTCCTTTTCTCCCTACATAAACCCTCTTATCCCCCACTCGGGATTCGGCTCTCAGCTTGGCTACGGATCTTCCCGAATCCCCCGTGTCGGCCCTAATTGTGTTAACATCTGCATCACCAGGTCTTCGGCTCTGAAGTATGGATCGTTCCGCACCGCGACAAAATGCACTCATATTCCTACTGTATACATCAATTGTATAGATGTTCAAGTTTCTTTTTTTTTTTTTTGCTAAACACAGATAATTTTTGTATAATGAAAACAACACTTCACGCTTTCTCCTTGCTTAGTCACAACAACACCTTAATACCTCACACGACATACATCAAAAACATTTACTGCGTTCCAACCTGGGCTGCATTTGCAACAAAGTGGATTTTTCATGCAAATTCCGAAGGTAACGCATTATGAAGTGTGTTTTAAACTACTCAATTTCTGGGCAGAGTAAAGATATATTGCCACATTTTTTGTGGCTAAGTTTTTGCT